CGGGGGGGGGGGGGGTCTGCGCCACCTCCTCACAAGCTTTCTTTGTCCAGAAGGCTTTTAGCTGGACCACATCTCACCCCAGGAAGAGTGGACTTCAGGGGTAAATTCAGAGATGCCAAGAGCATTTAAAATTACTCCCGTAAAACACAGTACTTTGAAGAGGATGGAGCAGGATTCTGGATCGGGCATTAATGGAGAAGTGGTTGTTTGTTGGTTGGTTTTGTTTGTTTGTTTGTTTGTTTGTTTGTTTGTTTTAAATCTCTGCCTAATCACAAATTACTAGGAGTCTGTGGCAGTTTATCCCTGGTCCTCAAGTGTTCTTAGATTAACCTGACAGCTCTTTGCCTAAAAATACCAACGAAAGACGCCATAACTGAAGGAGTTAAATGGGGAGGGAACACAGTCTCAGGAATCGCATTTTTGATTGCATAATGGACACACCGCAGAAATGACAGGTTATTATGTGAATACGGACAAATTGTTAGATAAAATGTTTGGATACTGATTGTTTCATTAGCCCCTTGTGATTGTTGCTGTTTCCTGGGACTGACATGTTAAACAATACTCAGCAGGATAAATAAACCCAAATGGTGTAAACTAATGATCTCTGTCATATATAACCACATTCTATAAGAATTATTAACATGGCTATTCCCTTGGGATATTTACATGGAAAGTTTTTTTTTTCCTGACGCAATTGCTTCTCGCACAGAAGACATACGCTAACATAAAGTCGATTTGAATGACACCCAAGTCTGAAAAATGGATCCTACCGGTGTTTAAATATATTCTAGATTGTTCTATCTGGAGACCTTTAGGGAATTTCTGTTGTGTGGGTGCCCCGTCTTTTTCAGAACAATTGTTGGTTTTGTTTTGTTTTTTTAAGTCAAAAGATGGAATCATTAATCAGGATTCTTTTGAAAATATGTTTACTCTACAGGCTGGAGAGATGGCTCAGCTGTTAAGAGCACTTATTGCTCTTTTAGAGGACCCAAGTTGGGTTCCCAGCACCCAGGTCAGCAGGTCACAACAGCCTGCCACTAACTCCAGTCCCAGCGGATCTGGCGCCCTCTTCTGGCCTCCCTGTGCATGAAACGTCACCTCAGGCCCACACACCTACATGTAAAATAAAACAACGAAGTAAATTTCAAAAAGATAATTCACTAACAAAAAGAGAGAGAGAGGGATGGAATTAGAATTTTATTTTGTAAGAAGAAAATCCTGTGCAGTTACATGTAGATATACATTTTAATTTTAGTAGTCATGAGCATATTGATTCAAATATTCAACCGGTCAGGGGATGTTCGGCTGACAAAAAGAAACACAGCCCCCCAAACCCTTGCGTTTTTAGAGACAAAGGAAGCCATTTTTAATTCTTAAAATGTTATTTATTTTATTTTATGTCTATGGGCAATTTGCTTGCATGAATGTCTGTGCACCAAGGGCATGCCTGGTGCCCGATGAGGCCAGAAGAAAGCATCAGACCCCCTACGGCTGGAGTTACAGACTGTTGTGAGCCACCATGTGGGTGCTGGGAACTGAACCTGGATGCTCTGCAAGAGTAGCCAGGGATTTTAACTACTGGGCCATCTCTCCAACCCCAACGAGGCGAGAACTACCAACAAAGACTCTGAAAATGAAGACTGACGTATCACCACAGAAATAGGCGGATTTTGTGTTCACGGTTGTGTCCCTTCTCTGTAGCTGGGGCCTTACCTCTAGGGAGAACTGGACTTGGAGAGGGATGTAAGATAATAGAAAGGAAAGAAGAACTTAAAAGAACAGTATTTCATGAAGAACAACCAATGTTCTTCAGTAAGTAATTCTGTAATAAATATTAAAATCACAATTCCAACAATCCTGTTAGAATTCCCTGAAGCCCAGGCAGAGCAGTTCCACCCATACCCTTGTGTTAACCTCATTCTGGGCACGAATTTAGCTAAAAACCTATCTCCTAATAAGAAGTAAAATTCAGAAGGATCCCCAGGCCCTGGTTGCTTCTCGGGAGGGCAGCCTCGCCGTGTGGTCCTCACAGCTGGCAGGAGGCGTTAGCTTTAAGACCCAGACTCAGCCCTATCTATCAATGGAAGGGGACCGTGAGTCTCCACTGCTGCTCAGAGGGAGCCCGATGAGCTAGACTGTTAACACATGCCATTCAAAGTGTTCCAGGAGTGAAGTTTATCACCCCAGAGAGGAAGCTGGAGAGGAACAGTCCCAGGGAAGGATTTGAGTTATCCTTAGAGCACTGGGGCAAGGCATGTCAAAAGATTTAGTGTAAAGAAATGAAACTTTAGTTGACAAGGGGAGAGACGCCGACGGCAGGTCTGCCTCAGTAGATTGTACTTGCTACTTTGTCTGATGCTCTGGAATATTCTGAACTAACTGGCAATGAAGGCTGAATCAGGGTTCTCCTGCCTGCTGACTGTAGTTCTGCACAGAAATTATATAACACACACACACACACACACACACACACACACACACACACACACACACACTAAGTGCATCTCACTAAGATTGCTTTCTATTCTTCCTTTGGGAAAAGTGTTTCTATAATTTATTCTTTTGTATGATTAGTCTGCCATATACTAACTCAGATTGACTGGATACAATTCCCTGAGCTTCATTATCGTAATTTCTACCTCATAAGCTGCCTTGATTATAAAAACATTATAAGGAAAGGAAAGTCGTACTTCTGAAAAGGGATTATTTTCTCATTGTATGTATGGTGGGAGGAGCTTGTGCACTTGAGAGCAAGTGCCCTGGGAGGTCAGAGGCATCCGATTTCACTGGAGCTGGAATTACAGGCCGTGGTGAGGTGCCTGGCGTGGGAGTTAGAAACTGAACTCTGGTCCTCTGCAAAAGCATATGGACTCTTAACGGACGAGCCGTTTCTCCACTGCTGAAGTCACATTTGTAAATAGACAGCTGTGACTAAAAGAAGCCTTCTACACATTTGTATAGTGGATAATGGCTTTCTAGATTGCTTAGTGCTGCGTTTGATGGCTTATTCCAAAGTGACTAAGCGACCAGGGGCATACCTGTTTGCATGTGTGCATGAGTGCCTGCCTCTGTGTGTGTGTGTGTGTGTGTGTGTGTGTGTGTGTGTTGTATTCACACGAGTGTGCCTGTGTTTGTATATGGGGAAGCCAGAGGACAATATTGGATGTCTTTGTCTATGGTTCTGTCTTGGCAACATTTCTCATTAACTAGCTAACCTGCTTGGCCAGTGAAACTCTGGGAGCTACCAGTATTCACCATCTAACACTGGGGTTATAAGAAAGCATACATGCTTGGTTTTTGTATGAGTTAGGGCTGGGGATTTGAACTCAGATCTTCATATGTTACACAGCAAGCCATCTTACCTAATGAGCCATTTCCTAAGTCCCCCCGCACCCCCCCCCCCCGACACACACACACATTTTCTTTTGAGAAGTTGAGTGAACACAGTCTAGGAGACCTGCCTTTGGCATGCTTAAGATACCAACTGGATGCTAGATGTGAACAGCAGACTCCCTACGGGGATGCAACTTACACTCATTGAATCATAAGAGTCCAGGAACCATGGTTTCTAACATGCCATCAATCAAATGCATGCCCCCAAACAGGAGAGTTCTTGGACAGAGAGTTGAGTGTACTCTCTTTGTTATCTAACCAGTTAGACCAGTGGTGTTTGAAAGTTTAGACCACTGAATGAGTCTAGCTGATTGATGACTGTCTTCATAACTTCACCAAGTTCATTGTTCAATCGATGTCTTCGACTGCCTTGTGAGCTTTTCTGGCCCACGTTTATTAACTCAAAGGGGTGTATGGAGTATTAGGCATCTTAAGATGTCAGAGTTCAAACTTTAGGATGACTTCAAAACTTGTCAGCCATCTCTTTAGATGGAGAAGGATGTGCTAACAACTACTATGCTAGGTGCAAATTATATCCCCTGAAGACATTTCCAGAGAAGCATATGGTGAGTCTCCAGAACTCAGATGTCTGTCCTGGAATCAGGCTGGGAGCCTCAGAAAGAGCATGTCTATACAACCCAAATGACATTGTCCGTTTCCTTTGGGCTTCTGGATTTGAGTTAGGCTATTTGTGTGGTAAGGAAGAAGAAGGAATGTGAGTGATCCTAAAATCCACACCGGTGAACCTTAGGAGAAGAGGAGGCCTGTTCTTACTGGTAAGTGATGCTGTTTTCAAACAAGACATGTTGTGAGGTTAGTATGGCTGGGGACCCTGATCTTGTAAATCTGCAGCTGGCCTTTGGGCACAGTCCTAATGATAGGTGTCTCTCTAATGGCTAGTGGCAATTCCTCTCTGTGACCGGATTCCTTCTCCTCCTTTCTCATCTTTCCTCTGAAAAGTTTACATGTTTTATAAGCCTAATATAATTAACTGTTCATACTGTTCTGTTTCCCTCTGCCTCGGTAGCACACAACGTTTTCATCGTTACTTTCCATACCTTCCTATCGGTCGACATCTCCATCTCTTTATTCCCTTCTTTTCTGTGATGTTCTGTCTGGAACCCCGCACGTCAGGAAGCCTGACTGTATGTTGGGAAAACCTAAGTTAACAAACGAGAAGCCAAGCGAAGTAGGAGACAAAGCTGTATGGAAGGAAAGGAAGCAGATACTTGAAGTCCTCATCCTTAGAGAGCTTCTGAGAAAGGGTATACCACACAGCTTGGGGATCACACAACAAAGCCGCAGCCTGCTGGCCATCTCCACGCCGTTCGGGAAAATGCAAGAATTGGAGGCGCGGGGGGGGGGAGTGTGCATCACACACTTGAGCTTTCCTAAATTCCAGTATAAGGCGCACTATTGTGGCTGGCGTCAACCCACACATTTATTTCTGTCTTAGAATATTCTGTTCTCCCCTCAAAAGTAGAAGTGTGTGATTGACTCCATTATTCAGTCCACGTGAAATTTGTTGTTTATGTCATTTTATGCTAACTACCTTCACCTTCTCACACATAATTCATACATAAACTTAATTTTTTTAAATTTACTCTTTGACAATGCGGTGCATATTTTTAATTCCCTGGTGCATGTCACTGGGTCTGAGGGGTAAGCACACCGCCTCCCTTCTCTTTTGTAAATCTCAGCTTCCTCTGCCTGCCTACAGAGGGGAGCCCCGAATGCCTTTAGTTGTAGTTCATCTTTGAACTCTCTCTAAGGCATGAGCCCCTGTACATTATCACAACCCTGAACTCTGCAAATTACTTCCCTCCTTTTGACTGAAAAAATAAAGGAAAGGAGTCTTAGAAAAATAAGGTCGGCATTTCCAGGGGGGTGGTACGAACGTTTCATATAATAAAACTTGAAGGCAGGAAAGGTCATGCCACCGTGGCCATCACTGCCTACACAAAACATTCACCATTTTTATCAAGCTTTTCCATAAATATGGCTTACTCGGGGGCACATTCTTGCCCTTTTGGAGGTGAAAGGGAACGATCAAGTTAAAAACCATAAAAAATCCTGAAGTTTCAGTTTTCATTCTTAGGATTATTGGAGTTTGAAATAATGAGTCCCAAAATTAAGGGTGCAAACGCTTCGAAAACCAAAACCTTACTAAAATATGGGAAACAAGGAAGCGACTCATCTCACGTTACCGCCTCTCCAGCTCCGCCACACTCTCTCCCTTGGAAGTTTATCGTTTCACTTTGTTATGTATCTAGAAAAAAAAAAAAAACCCAAAGCCATTCATCTGAGAAAAAGTGCATAAAATAAACAACAGAATGACAGAATACTCAAGTACCTTCAAGAAGTAAGTGTGAGTGTCCAAGAGTGATTTGATCTTTTGTAAAACTTGCTACTTCTTTTTTTTCTTTTTAGTACTCCACAAAAGCTTTTCTAAGAGAGGAATTGTATAAAAAAAAAATATTTAGGTGTGTGGGGGGTGGGGAGACACAAAACAACCAACGAAACAACAAAAACCTAACTTTGGGAATTGCCTCAGAGTGGAGGGGAGGGGGGAATCCTAGACATAGAAACACACTGAAAACATACCTGGTAATTTAATAATATTTTAGTTCTTAATTTATCAGTTTATTAGTTTAAATGAACAGTGATTTGAAATGCAGCCTACCGTTTTCTTCAATCAGCCTCCCCTTCATTCATAATGCAGTGAGCCATGCCCTAATGTGAGACCTTCCATTCTTCAAAAAAAAAAAAAACAACCTTGCTTATTCTAGGAGACTTGTCAACTAATCAAAGAAACAAAGCAACACATGGACCAGGCACACCAAGAAACTGAGGTTACTTAGCATGGCTTTTTGATCAGCATCTTTATCACTCTGTGTCCCACACATCCCTGGAATTCTCTGCAAAGTGAACATTCTCGGGGGTAATCACTCTTTTCACCAAAAGTAGACAAAGCCCAGTAAAATGCTAAGGGGCCACGGTACCACAAGGAGAGCACACATCTGGAGAGGTGAGCGTCAGATTGGCAAGGGTCTTAGCAAGACTCTGCATCCTTGTCTGTTTCTCTTTTTGTCAACGAAGATCATCTCCAGTTAAAAAACAAAATATCCGCTTGCCAGTGACACAGCTCGGGTGCCTTGAAACAAATCAGAAAACAAGTCCCACAATCCGTGTGGTGTTTTCCACTGTCTACTTAAATAATCTTAGAGTTGTTTCACTAGAAGTAAAAGGGAACCCAGAAACACAAGTTTTCACCCGACAGCTTGAAGTGTTTGCAACCTACATGTGCACATTCGCAAACAATAAGAACATGTACAGATGGCTGTAAGAGTATCTGCCTCTGAATCATCAGGAAAAATGTTACAGGCAGATCCATCTTACTAGAACATGAAATAAAATCTTTGTATAATTCATGGGACTGTGGTTTACTAGCATAAAAAAAAAACTGATCAATACATGCTGAAGTCTCCTTGAATCACGGTCACATCATTTTAAAGGTTCTGTGTGCTTTCTCTCTTTGGCGATTTAATAGAGTGGGCAACAAGCTCATGGGACCATGGAAGTCACAGTATAATAAAGATGGAGCAGGCGACGTGAGGGACTGGTGCTTGGCTGTTTTAAGCATGCTATTCATCACAGTGCGGACACTCTTGTTAGAAGCGGTGGTGGGATGATGTATTGCATGGCTTATCGTAAAGAACTTTTAACCACCAGTACCTATAAACCTCAAGACTTCAGCCACATCGCAGATCAGCTTGACGTTTGTCCTGCTTCATGATTAATGCCCCTGTCCTGTGTCAATGGTGTTTACAATATTGCAATGTTGCCTGGCTTAGGACATAGCATTGGCATGCTTATCATTCAAGGCGTCCCTTTTTCAAGTCATGACGTTGTCAGCTTGGCTCAGTGTAGGTTTGGGGACCGAGCCACAGGACCTTCCTTCCAGGTGATGTAACACCAGGCATGCTGCTGACAGCGTGCGTAGCTTTATAGTCTTTATTTTTAAAGCCTTACGTGTATGGGTGTTTGTCCTGCAGGGACGTCTGTGTGCCACGTGTGTGCAGAAGGGGAGTTAGATTCCTTACAACGGGAGTCACAGGCAGTTGTAAGCTACCATGTCCAGAGGAACCCAGGTCCTCTGCAAGAGCAGCCAGTGCCTTGAACCACTTGGTCCTCTCTCCAGCTTTGTGTATGTATGTATTTTAACAATGGAGTTCAAATACAGTTCACAAAATACCTAGGACTTGAGCCCCAGGAACAGATGTACCTCCTTACTCTATAATTTATGCTGTATCATCGGTATTAACCGCCTCCCTGCCTGGCTTAGCTATTTCAGAGAAGTGCGTTTGAGAATGTTGAGGTACTCTTCCCTCCTTCTTTACCGTGTACCCACGCTCTCCCTCTTCTTGCTGATGTCTGATGGGTGAGCCGCCACAGGGAGAAGAAGGAGTTCGAAGTGCAAATAGGCGTTTAGTGATCTGGCATCCTAACCACGATAGTATACATGGCCTACATAGAATCCCCTCCGGGTTTCCAAATGGAAACCATGTGAGAATAAGTGTAGCATTTTTAGAGCATTGCATAAGCACTTCCGGATCACCTCCTTTGCTATAGCATCCCATACCAACTGTGCCCATTTTACAGCAGAGGATGGCGAGGTTTGGGGCTGGCTGAGTAATTATGACTGTAGTTACTGCAGACCTTACACACAGGTCTAGGCTTATCTCACCAATATTTCCCGTTCTGTTTTGCCGCCCCCTCCCACCTCTGCCTCTATCCTTGCCTGTGAGAAGTATCTATGAACTCCACTTAGAATCTCTTCACCCCAGACTTTGTTCTGGAAGATTCATGTTGTACCTGGAGTTCAGAGAGGCCCGTGGGAGGGAAACAGCGGTGAGGAAACACCTTGAAATGGTTGATTTTCAAAAGTGCATTTTTCAAAAGGAGGGGTCCCCAGTGTTCTAACAGGGTTCTCAAGGAAGTAGTGACCACAAAACACTAAACAATGGCTTGCTTCAAAATTTGGGGACACAGAGATGGGAGAATGGAGTTGAATGAAAGTAGATTCTAGGCCGGGCGGTGGTGGCGCACGCCTTTAATCCCAGCACTCGGGAGGCAGAGGCAGGAGGATCTCTGTGAGTTTGAGGCCAGCCTGGGCTACAGAGTGAGTCCCAGGAAAGGCGCAAAGCTACACAGAGAAACCCTGTCTCGAAAAAAAAAAAATAACTAGAAGGAAAGTAGATTCTTTGTAAGGTCAGGGGCACACAAGCACAATATACTGTGAACTTCGCCAATCAGCTCAATATTTTTTTTAATTTTCAATTAAAATTTTGTATTAGATTTATTCATTTTATTTTCTATCTGAGTGTTTTGTGTGCATGCATGTCTAGGTGTCATATGCGTGCTTGGCGACTGGAGAGCGGAGGAGGACACATCCCCTGTAACTAGAGTTATAGATGGTTGTGAGCCACCATGTGCGTGGTGGGGACAAAACGTGAGTCCTCTGCAAGAGTGCTACACGCTCTAATCTATGAACCATCTCTCCAGCCCCAGACCTGAGCTTTGCTAGGTGATGTCTTGTCCGTGTTTTCCTGCCTGCTCCTGACTTGGCTCTCCACATCATGTGTGTGACCAGTGGCACACACCTATGAGGTGGCATAAGGCAAGGGCAGGGACAGTGACTGTGGGAGCACACAGCAGGCACACTTGCTGCGCCTTACTTCCCACCAGCTCTTTGAAGAAAGGCGCTTAGTCTCACATGAGGCTTTGTGAGCCTCCGGGATGCCCCCAAAGAAGTTGAGGAACATGGGGGAGATGGTGGCGGGGACTGTAAAAGGCGTGTGGCCGCTGTGGTCTCCTTGGGTCCCTGAACGCTTCCGTCAACAGCTGCGGTTTTCACGAAGTGGGTCACCTGATGGTCTGAGACAGAACTCTGCGTTCTGCTGAAGTCAGACTATGGATCATATTTGAAGTGTTAGGAGAACTGACCATAAATGGTATTTGACGCGATGGAGGAAGGGATTTGGTGGTGAGTGGGCAGGCAGGGAACACTCTTCAGGAGACTAACATATCTGGAAGAAAAGGACTGATGGCTAGTAGAGGGAACCTCAATTCTAATGCAAAGAGGAGAAAACTCCATAACTCCCTGAACCTATATTCTCATGGATACAGGACACAGAACTGTCGCTAAAATCATTGCCTTCTGGAAAATAATGGTTGTTGACCAGGGGTGGCCAAGGGTGTGTGTGTGGGGGGGGGGGTTGATAAGGGGAATACACAGGACATGCCACCATGATCCTTTCTGTTGAATTAAAGAAGACCGAGCTGAGGGGACTAGACACAGGGGACTGAGCCACCCAGGAACTGCACTGAGAATGTGGCTTAGCATCACGGTGAAGCTGCTGGAAGAGGCTGCTGGAGACTTCGGAACTGGACCCTGGGAAAGTCTCCAGGCAGAGGAGTCAAACCTGGGGGCTTGGCAGTTAAAATTCTTAGAAAAGGGAAGACAGCAAAGGAGGCCAGAAGACTATGTGTGAGGCGGTGTGTCCTGTGGGGTAGGGGTGTGTGAGGCGGTGTGTCCTGTGGGGGAGGGGTGTGTGAGGCGGTGTGTCCTGTGGGGGAGGGGTGTGTGAGGCGGTGTGTCCTGTGGGGTAGGGGTGTGTGAGGCGGTGTGTCCTGCAAGGTAGGGGTGTGTGAGGTGGTGTGTCCTGTGGGGTAGGGGTGTGTGAGGTGGTGTGTCCTGTGGGGAGGGGTGTGTGAATCGGTGTGTCCTGGGGGGTAGGGGTGTGTGAGGTGGCATGGAGAAGGACGCTGGACTGAAAGGTAGATCTTGCTAGAAAGTCTGGCTTTCCAGGATTAAACTAAATGAAAACCTTGAGTGTGTGGGAGAAAAGTTTCCTTATTGAGGAGCTGCAGTGTTGACTCTTAATCATATATAGTTTAGGTTCCCAAATTCTCCAGACACACAAAAAGTCATACAAGTTCATGTAAAATGGACTTTATAGCCTGTACAAAATAACCCTGGACGCAAGCCATAGCCTAACATTTGAATTTTCCTACCTTAGTGCTTTTCCCAGAGTCTACCAGTGTTAATATTTCTAAACGAACAGTGGGTTTGGAAAATTAGGCACCCCCCCACAAATACACACATGTGCACGCACACACACACACATGCACACACACACACACACACACGTGCACACACATGCACACACACGCACTTTATTCCATATATCACACATATGCATTCTATGTGTCAACAGCTTATAGATCACAGCCTTCTCACCTTTAAATTCATGTCGGTCTGCCTCGTCCTATCAAGGGCTGCATATGACTTCAAAGCGTCCCCGCACGGTGATATATTTAGCCATGTCCTTGACCCCATCTGTCTTCAGTAGACTCTCTTCCCCTCGTTCATTCATTCACTGAATTTTAAACATCACTCCCCGCATGTCAAACACAGCCTGAAAAATTCAAAATTGACATTGTCTGTGCTCCGGGCTCGCAATCAACTGGATGTGATTAAGATAGAGTTGTACGAATACAGTCATGAAATGCAAGATGATTCAGATTTAAAGTCACCTTAAAACTTGCCAATCCCTGCTGCAGGGAATGGGTAGTAAATAAATAATGAGATGAGAGTAAATAAATAAATAACCGTTCTTGCCACACCAGAGCAACTCTGCACCAGGACGGTGAACAGAGAGCCACGGGAGTCCAGAGGAGCAAGATGGCTCCCAGCAGGACTTTCCTGCCTGAGTCCAGGCTGCGGCCCCTACCAGATCAATCTTCCCACAGTAGAGCTTTTGATCTTTCTTCTCCTCCGCTCAGAGACCTCCTGTGACCCTCTGTGGCCCGGCCTCTTCCCCCATCTGCTGCATTAGAATGTCCCATTAGAATGGAGGTCATTGTGATATGGTCCAAAGGGCCCTGGAATTGTTATTACAAGTCCCAGGTGTGAATTCTGCATCGGTCACTTTTTAGCTGGGTCCACCAACCTCCGAGATTTACAATCTTCACCTGTGGATTCGGACCCTCTCGGAAGTTTGGTATAAAGATTAAATGAGATGGTATGGGTGAAAAAAATGCCAAGTGTTATGTGAGTATAAGATATATTCTCACAACATACTTGATCATGAATTTACAAATATGGGTAGTGCTCCTAAATGTATGCCCAAAAGTAGTAGTCTTTCTCTCACACACACACAAATGGAGACTATCGTATTTGTTTTGGACTCTGGAAAGTTGGTCGGAATTTGAGAAGAGAATGAGGGAACACATTCCAGTCTGATGGGATGGCGTGAGACTGGGTTAAGGGGTCTTAAAGCCCACAATGTGTTTGGAAAGCCACAAATCATCTGACTTGCCCGGGCACAGGGTTTACTCAAAGGAGAGGCTGCGGACCACACTGCAAAGGGCAGAGGTCCAATACCGAGCCCGCTCACAGGGGCTGGCCAAAGAGCTGGCGGAGCAGGGGTGCAGAGGGATGATGAGGACAGACAGTCAATCTCAGCATCCTGAGAGATGGACAGATTGACCCACAGGAGCCTGGGGAGGAAGGGACAAAGGAGCTGAGGAATTGTGGCAACGAGAGATCAGTTGCCTCATTAATATTTGGGACCAAGCCATGGAAACACAGAAATAAGTTAGTGAGACCGTGGTGGAACCGTACAAAAAGGAGGATTTCTCACGTGATGCTCTTATAGGTGTGAGGGGATGAGCCCACTGGGGAAGAGAGGAGCTGGAGCTTAGGGAAGTTCATTTATCTGCCTGGGAGGGCGCAGTGAGAGAGAAAAGAATGACGGGAGTTGAATTAGCTAAGGAAGCAGCAGCTGGGTCAGAAAGCACTCCCCACCCCCTGCTTTCTCACAGAGCCCTAAGCTGAGCTGAAATACTATCTAGGAACAAAAAGTGCACCCAAAAAAATAATAATAATAATAATGGAAACTAAAGTTGGGAGAGAACTCTTAAATCTCGAGGGAAGACACAGGTTTCAGAATCCCACTTATTAGAAACAATGAACTTGCTGATTATAATCCATTCTCAGCTGTCCCCTCAGTGCCTGAAACAGATTCCTTCAAAGGCTTTGGCTTCGAAACTTTATCAGCCATGTTTCGGTGACTGTCCATCCTTAAAAGGGATCCAGATGCATCTCTGTACAAACAGTCTCCGCTTCAGATGGTTCCCCAGCTCCAGCCCACTTTGATTTCTAAGATGTTTGACTAAGCCAGGCTATGCTGCAAAGCTAATCTGTTTCCCAAGGATTTAGAAATAAGTTGGGAGCCAACTGTAAAAGACACTCCCCTGGAAAATCCCGGTATTTTGCAGCCAGATGTCTCTCAGAGCCTCTAACCAAAGAAAGCCTCCGTTTGCCTTCCTCCCCAAAGGAAATGGAATCTCTCCCCATTGTCAAAACTAATCGAAGTTTCTGTATTTTATGTGGGTTTCCTCCATTCCATCTTAGAATATACCAATATCTACACCGAGAACAGCAACTGGATTTGGTTCCTCTTAAAAGTAAAGTCGTTTTTGTAGAGATGAGAGTGTGTCATGGAAATTAGCTCTCTTAATGGGACCCCAACCAGCACAGAGAAGAATCAATGATCTAAAACACCGAGTTTCAAGATGTTTTATTGCCCTTTCAAAGACTTTTCTTGGATGTTCTAGGTATTTGTAATATTTTGAAGGGTTTTAGTTTTGTGTTATGACTTTCGGAATTAAAATTATATTATCAACCTGCTTTAAAAATTTTGCAGCAATATAAACTTACTGTCATAAATAATAGTTCAAAATCTGAATGCATTATGTAGTCAAGAGGGACTGCTATGTTCAAAAACAGCAAACATGTCTGATGAGAGGCAGAAAAGCAGATGCTTGACGCACAGTTCCTCAGCATATGTAATGGAGTGTCAAGAAATGGATTGGTTTTTTGACCAGTTCATTTTCTAGCAACTGAGACTAATATCCAATGTCTTTTTTTTTTTTTTTTAAAGAAAAATGAAAACAGTTTCCTCTTTGGTTTAGCTGGGCCTGTTGAGGATAAGAAAACGTTGGAATGAATGTGTGGCCCGTCAGAGCCACAGAAGCCTCTATCTTTATTCCATATGGTCTGAAGTGAGTCTGATGGGATTTCAGATTGTGGCTCAGATAGCAGAGGATGAGGCAATACTCCTGAATGAAAACGCTGAACTTCTAAAGCCGGATCACAAATTCAGGTCAAGTTCATCAAGAGGCTCGCTGAGGCTGGTAGACCTCTGTGTGAACTTGCCTGGAGCCCTGGACTAAAATGAGGGCAGATTTCAAATGAACCCAAGATGAGTTATGGTTTCAGGTGCCGGTCACGTGGTATGGTTCCTGCTGTGTTTCTGTTTAAGCTGAGGGTGAAGATCCACAGGAGGTAGAAATGTGTGTCTCGTCGCAACTTCTCCCGAGTCCCACACAAGCATTAACCTCTAGCAGCTGGAGCTGGTGAAGTTCTTACAGCAGGCAGGCTCAGCCATTCACTTCCTACACCTCACTTCCACACAATGGAGGCTTCTGGGGTCTTGACACAGAGTGGGGAGGCAGGGATGATCTGGACATGTTCTTTATGGATGTTGGGCTTCGTTCATCCCACCTTGAAGCAGGCATGTGTTCGGATGTTTTTAAACAAAAACTCCGTCCTGGGTAGACTGGCTTCGTAAGCCTGTGACTGGCTGGAAGCATGGTCTACTCTTCCTGGAGAAAGAAACACAAAGGAGCCAGACTCTGGGCTCCAAATCGGAAGGTCCAGGACCACAGGTAACATGAGCACAGTAACCGAGGAAGAGCTGTTTGTCCCTGGTCTTCCAGCATCTGTGTTACTTCAAAGGTGAGGTAACAGGACTGGACAACTTCTTGTGCCCTTCTACTACATGGATTTATACAGTCTTGGGAGTTTTCTTCCCTCCCTCTCTTTCTTCGTCCCTCCCTCCCCCTTCCCTCCTTCCTTTTCTCATTCCTTTCCTATAAAACACACTAGCATTTGTTACCTTTCAGACTTCTGCCCTCTAGTATGATTGATCACTAAGAGATACCCAACTGTCACCTCCCTGAAACCAACATGGAGACTGGCCTCATCTTCATTTAGACCAGCGGTTCTCCACCTTCCTAATGCTGGGACCCTTTAACACAGTTCCTCACGTTGTACCCACCCCCAACCATAAAATTATTTTTGTTGCTACTTCATAACTGTAGTTTTGCCACTGTTATGAATCATAATGTAAATTTCTGACATGCTGGATATCTGATATGTGACACCCCCCCCCCCAAAAAAGCGTCTTGACCCATAGGTTGAGAATTGCTGATTTGGAGTACTGAGCAGTTTCTGAATATCTGCTTTCAAGAAAGCACTTTAGACACTCTCCTGGGGTGGTTAGAAGACTCCTAATATTGTCTGTTGTGCGGTTTAAACTTCCCCCTCATTATGTGAGAAACAGTGGGAGACCTTTAAATGCTTAGCACTTCTCCTAAAGACACTGAAGCAAGCCAGGTATAGCCCGAGCCTTGAGGAACACCGTGTAGTCCTCAGAGGCAGAGGAGATAATGGTTTGCAACTCCCCAATGGCAGTCCCATCCCCCCCGCCCCCCCGCCCTCCCACCCCCGTTTCCTTCCAGCACATGACCACTGTTCACTGCAGACAGTACAAACGAACTTGGATTTCTGTCTCCAGTTCTCCGACACATTTCATCTCTTCCGAATTTATTCCGCGCCTAGGACTGAAATCTCCGAACTCTTACGGTCGTTGGCATCTTACCATCATCGCTGGAGCCTTGAGAGCAGCGTCTCAAGAATCGCTTGTGGCTTCCGATCACGTGACCTCGGGTTAGCCTGACGGTCGGGTTAGGGTGACTGGATTGTTTCAACTCTTCCACGATGTAGTCAACAGGCAGTTACAGGAGACTTTTTGAGGAAGAAATTGAAATCCCGGCGGTTGTCTGGAAAGCGCCCTCTGAGATCTGGCTAAAGCGATTAATTGTGCTGCCGAAATGGGAAGCCGCCACTTGAAGCGAAGTCCCAGAGATAACGGTAGAGCAGTGCTGGGCCACAAAAATCTTTGTTTGTTTGTTTGTTTTTGAGCACTGGGAACCAAACCCAAAGTCCTAGTCATTTTAGGCAAGTGCTCTACCATGGAATTATGGCCCAGCAATCAAAACAATATATA